AACGCCTTAAAGTAAGTGCAGGTCTCCAGTGAAATAAATGCCTCTGAGATAACAGGTCTTGGAAGCTACAGCCAGAAGGACCAGCAGGGATCTGAGTTTTATTTAGAAGGAAGGTCTCAATCCAGGAATGTTTTGAAGGAAAACTCACCAACCAGTTTCTTGCAAACTTTAATGAAAGTTACCCAAATTTTCCTGAAATTGGTAAAGCCTTCCAATCAACTAAGTCTGAATGAAAACTCTTCCAGCTTGTAATTAAGGAAAATTTGCATAGCAAAGCACTACTATTGTTAAAATATCTTCTTTTTCTTTTCAAAATATGATCAATAGCAATGATTTAAACAAATAACATTCAATATTGTTTTGTGTAAAATCCTCCCAAGCTCTTTAAAAACAGTTGCTGAAATGATGAGTTCCCTTTCAGTCTGGTACAGAACATTATGTGCTGGAGAAGGGCATAAGTAAGGGCATTTGAGGGCTGAAATCCTCCCAAGATCAGTTTTGTTACCCCATGTGTATTTGTACTTTTGTTACGTGGTCAACAGAACACTCCAAGCTTGGCTGATGGTAACTGTTTTTATTAAAACAAATGTGTTCATTAACCTGACTAATGATACAAAATCTGACATTCTTCAGTGCTTCACAGAGTGTGTCAACCAATGGAACAGATAAAAGATAAAAATATAGACTGGGCCTTCCTGCCCTTTATTACAAGCTTTATTACAAGTACGGTCTTGCAGCATTACTTGGTTGCTTTTGTATTTCTTTTTTGGAACAATGATGTTGTTGGGATTGGCTCTGTTTCTCCTGAACTGATCTGATTTCTCCCAATTCCTGCTGTTGCATATACTGGTTCTTCCCGTGCCTCTTCTTTTAGAAGCAGTATATGTTGTATCTAATTATTTGCTATTCATTTATTTGTAAACCACTTTTCTTTTATTTCACAGATCCAGAGCAAGTCTTGCTCAATTGTTTCTTGAGCAACTCTTGATGCCAGTCAGAAGTGCTGACTGGTCATTGTGACACTACACACAGGTCAAGCACAAAGAGAGAATGCTGAGTATATGACTGTAAATTTGTGGTCCCTTTTTCTATACCATATGCAATTGCATGTGTTGTCTCCCACCCCAGCCCCCTCCAAATCCTGTGATAACTAATTACACATTAATGTAGTGGAGTAGAGGACAAATATCTTGGGTAATTGGATTGGCTACATGTATTTTATATGTCTGCTTCTTAAAACAGGTGTGTGAAATATACTTGTGTGTCAGAATGACAGTAAATCTAAAACAAAAGGAAGATTTACTGCCAGCATTACATAAATGACTTCATCTTCTTGGTGATACAAATACTTGATTCAGGAACATGTAATAAAAAAGTAATGTTTAATATTACCCTCCTGGTACACCTACAATAATGTATGATATGTACCAGCTCAATTTTTCCTTTATCTCAGACCAGATGTTTGTTACTGTTTTTCATAGCTATGAAGTTACTTTTTTACCTACTAGATTTAAGTTCAGTAAGGAAAAGGCAATCATGAACAAAAATCTTTGTCATCTGTTTTTCTCTTTGCCTCTGAAATCCCTGTTTGCTGGGTTGGCTGCTTAAGTCAAGCACCACAACTGGTTTAGAAATTTTCTTTTGTCCATGTTGTTCTGGCTCATGTAACTCTATACGATTTCATGATCCTCAACTGGACACAGTTCCTCCTCTGTCTGCTGTTACTGTGGGCTTTTTGTAATGACTGCTGTGTTTTTAAATCCCTCAACACTTCTCACATGAAAGACCACAGAGGACATTATGGTTTTTCATATATAAAAAAGACTGATCATGATTGCAAGCAAACACTATGATTTTGGAACTGGTGGAAAAGAAAACGCTAGTCAGCAGTCTTAGGTTTGCTTTTTTCCTATCACGTCCCTAGTGCCCCTACTGACTCACTGCCTATGGTCTGAGAAGACACCAAAGCCGTGGGAAATGTCTGTTTGCTGTTCTCCTCGGCATTGCTGGCTCCCAGCTAGCCCATCCTCCCAGCCCTGGCGTGGCAAGTGACCGTGGGTGCTGCAGCCTTGCCTGGAGCCCTGCACTAAGGCATGGTAGGTGCTGTGTGCTGTAGGCTTGCTCCATCCCAGCAGGGGTGGTAGCTTGGGAAAGAAGCAGGAACCTCAAAGTAGCAAACTGGGGGTTGGTCTCTTCTCCCAGGCAAAAAGTGACAGCACAAATTACCTCCCGCTGTAGCAGGGAAGGTTTAAATTAGGCATTATGAAAAATCTCTTCACTGAAAGGATGGACAGGCTTTGGAATAGCTGCCCAGGGAAGTGGTGAAATCACCATCCCTGGAAGTGTTCAAAAAGCGTGTGGATATGGCGCCTGGGAATGCGGTTTAGTGATGGTGGTGCTGTGTTAATGGTTCGACTTGATAATCTTAACAGTTTTTTCCAAACTGAATGGTTCTATGGATGGCCCAGATTAGAAAGATATAGAGGCAGCAATATTGAAGCCCTGCTATGGTCCTCTTGACATGCCTTTTCCATTCCCAGTGTCCCTGGAGCCCTAGGCTCTTTTGCTCTCTGATCCCTAACCTGAACCATATCCCTGATCAAAATTCAGTGTATCTATGCACCATTTTATCCATAAGAGAAGGAAGAGATTTTTTTTTACTTTTATTGTCATTTGAGAGATATACTAGTATGCACTGATGTTTAGACTGTCACTATTTAGAAGTTTAGATTATCCTCCTCAGTTCAGTTTACAGGGAGAGAAATATCACTTTACTGCTCTCAACAAACTCAGCTTTGCAAAAGTACTCCATCAATGCTTTTCCACATAGCATCATATATCAAGTAGGCTGTGCCCAGGGATGGTTTTCTACTTTAAATAAAATCCAGCAAACCCCACTTTTGCAGAAATAATTTCTTTATTTCACCAGTCTATGGCTGTGTGCCTGTGCACAGATACTCTGGGCCTCTCTAGATGTTACTCTGTCCCTTGTACCCTGCTCATTTCTACACCGAGGGTCTCCTCCTCCCTGACCCTTCCAGCTCTTGAGAGTATAATTATTTTTCAAGTGCCTGCTTTCTATTGCAGTGAAAGAGTTTTTGGAAATCCCAGGAACCTGTAGTGGTGAGACAATCTGTAACCCAGCCGTGGCTGCTCTGGCCAAACTAGCACTCCCTCATGACAAAGTGGATCCCTTGGCTCATCGTCTTCTCTTTCTCCCACTTAGTCATATACAACTGGGGTATGTCAGCACTTATTCCTCTGGCTAAGCATGCAAATTCCTGTATTCTTGGAGTCTGTTGTGCATTGTGCTAATCCCTCTGTTTAGTTTTTCTCTTTCTGTCCCAGTTGAAGAGTTCCATTTCTTTCCTTTCCTTTTCTGTGCTCCTCAAGACCCCATCTTGGAACTGTGCACAAGAGTAATATAAATTATTAAAAACAGGTTTGCTCATATCAATAAGCCCAAGAACATGTGTTGGTGCAATAGTTGTGGTTTACTTTGCCTCTGCTTGCCAGTCAGCTTTCAACATTCAGTATTTCTTAATATCTTGTCACCTTATTCTTATGTGAACCAGAGAAATTTACTTCAGTTTTTAATTGCATGAAGTTTGCTTAGCCAAACTGGATAACAGAATAAATAATGAAGTCCAAGGGATTGCAGTTCTTGGATGCCAAACATTATCAACCACAGAACCACTATAACAGGGTAAGTTCCTCCAGGAGAAGCTGCAAAACCTGGGAGCTGCTACAAGAAGCTGGCACATTAACTGCCCCTTGTAGAAATGGTGTAATCCCCGTTCCATGATGCCTGACTTCCACTGACTAGGGATAATGGACAAACACACCTTGCTTGTGGAGGCTCTTTGAAAGTCTCTGTTGCAAGGAACTTCCAAAACACTAGATATTTAATGATATTTTGATTATTTTATTTGCATGTCCAAGGACAGCAATCTTCCAACTGTGGCAAGGAACTGCATGTAGCCCTGGTGTGGGAAATACCTATCTAGTGAGATGAGCAATGAGTGAGACGTATGGGGAATAGTCTGGTCTTCAAGTCAGGAATTTCACAGCTACACTCCAGCATCTTGAGCTGTATCAATGAATCATCAGCAGAGTGAAACCACAGAATGACACCAGCTTCCCTAAGAGAGTCTCTCTATATATATATAGCTGCTAGACTTGCACATTTCTGTTTATAAATACTCAGTGATAGCTAACCACAAAACGATGTGGCCTTCTCAGCAGACATCTACTAAAAAAAATATAAAATTCTTGCTCTATCTTTCCTTTCTTCCTGAGTTATTCTAAACCAGACTTTTGCACCTTCAGATAAACAACTAAAACTTGAGGAACAACTGAAAGCTGAGCAGTCCTGACACTGCTGCATGTGATCAAGATATTTTCTGAATAAAAAGACAGCCAAGGCAGAACCCTTCTGAAGAAAGCTGTTGAAAATGTTGATCCTTCTTAGATGTATCTGAGGATATTAGTTTATCTGGGAACTGCAGCCCCTCACTTGATTACCCTCTTCTAAAAGGCCAAAATTGCCACCATTCATTAATGCTTTTCTTACTCCTTCCCATGAGCCTGGAAACCATAATTTGCTTCTAGCTGTTACTTCTTTATACCCCATTGCAAGAGAGCCTTAATGAAGGCTGTCACACTAAAATGGATGTTATGAGAAGAAAGGGGAATCAGCACATTTGTGATTCACCAGGAAATCACAATCACAGAAGATTTATGTTGTCCATGAACAGCTTGATAAACCACAAAATGTGAAGACTGCGATTATTTAGCTGCTGACTATGCTGCAGTGTACCTTTTGTTACCCGTGAAGTTTTTACTCGAGGTAGCGTGTGAAACAGTCATGTGAAGACAAGAGTGTATGTAAGCTACCATTCGTCAGAAAAGGGGAAAATTAGTCATATATTTAGCAGTCATTTCCCCTTTTTTTGGGAAATCCAAACACATATTTTCTCTGTGTCTGTGCCTCTGTTTCTCTTATCCTCACTCTACGGAAGGAAAGAAAGTTGGGTCTAAAACGTTATTTGGTTTTGACACAAATCTGATTGGGCAATGAGAGACAAATTTCCGCTGTGTGTTGAGCTCAACCCTATATAAGGTCTTCACCAGGAATTTTCAGTGTGATCGCTTCTTTTTGTGAGATGCTTATGGCTGAAAGACTACAGAAACACAGGTAAGTGAATCTGACTGAAATTTAGGAATGAAAACTTTCCCTAAACCCTCAAATGGCTTATGGAGATTGTTAGTTACTAAACCAAAGGGACCATAAAGCTCTGAACATAAAAACCAAGTATTTTTGTCAGGCAAAGGGTCTGAAGAGAGAGAAACACCTGCCACAGGGTATTGACGTGAACTCTGGGGCTTGTTAATGCCTCTAGCACCTGGTTCAGGTGTAGCTGAGAGGCTAGAGCTCCATACCAATTCCCTGGAAACCCAGGCAGACCTAAGAGTAGGGGAGATGACCCATGGTTATGAAAGAGTATTATTGAGCAAGAGGTTGGTTTTGTGGTGTTGTACAGATCACAATGATTTGGAAATAGTTTATTGTAGTCAAACTATCAGATGTCAGGTAAGTATAGCTACTAGAACAGGAAGAAATTTGGATTAAAACCATGATGGAAGTATGAACATGATGGGATACAAAAAGATGCCCAAAGGTGTATACCTATGAATATGGCTTTGTTATGTTGATAGAAATATTTATTTTTGGTTTTGATTTGAAATAATTGTACAGTCATTTAATATTCATCATAGTTTTAAGGTAATGTTAAATGCATGCAATTTCCATTTCTGAATGTAAAATGGAAATGTATCATGTGGATATGTCTACTGTATTTCTCATAAATTCCTTACACAGAGCATAAACTAGTGCCTCTATCCAGCATGTTTTATACATTTTTGCCCATGGCACATCAAGGTAAAGTATAATCAATCAATTGACTAGCAGGAGCTGAGGCCTCGTGGGAGAGCAGAAGCATTCAGTGATGCACACAGACACTGCCATGCCCATGTCAGGTCCATACAGATGACACTTGATGCATGACTGGCAGAGCAGAATTTTGTTTTCCCTTAGCAGCCACCCTGTCTGATTTGCAGGACAGGTTTTTCAGGGTTTTCCTTATCTTTTTTTTAGAACAGATGGTAATAGTGTCCATGCTGAAAACTTGTGCACCACCATCAGGATGGGTATACATGCCATAGCAGTCCATATTTTTTGTCCCAACAGAAACATTTGTTGGGGACAAGAAAGCTTGGCTCTGCTTGTAGCAGGAAGTTTTCCTGCAGCCTGATTCACACTAGCTGGCCTACTTTGCTCCTGTGTTCACCCAAGCTACAACACTACAGCTCACTCGAAGCAGCTGACCTGTGCCTCAGTCACATCTTACTGCAAAATAAGCAGAGCTAAATGTTTCCACCTGTAGCTGTTGCTCTGAAAAGCTGTAGGGACAGCAGTAACTTGTGGTATGCTGTCTTCATCTTCTGGAGTGAAAGGGAAGGGCTAAAAGTGATATGTGTGCGCCAAGCCAGATGTTCTGGTTCCACAGTTCAGCCCCCATAAACTAGGGATGGAGACACCTTTCTGCTCCTTGAGGGTGGACCAAAGCTCCCCAGGTCTGGAGTGAGAAAAATAGCAGTTAATTCTTTAGATAATGTTGACTATTTTGATTATATAATCTCTCTTGTAATAAACTTCCTTGTAGATTACAAAACACTTTCCTTCCACCCTCTTCTTCTGATTTCCTCTGGAAAAAAATGCATGGGTTCTTCTTTGTCCTGGTGACATGCACAGTAGGTGCGACTGCTTTCAGACTCCAGCAAATCAAAAACACAGGTAAGTGTAGATTTTTTTTTTCCTTCTGTTTCCCTCACCATTCTTTTAAATGTTCCTTTCTGACAGTAATGTAAAAATATCTCTGATTTGTATAGAAAACTGCCCAGATCACACCGTGTTTCTCAATCACTTCCATGAACTGCATGGAGAACCTGTGGTTCTGAAATGCCCTTCCCCCAGTTACAAACATTTGGATTTCTCTGCCTTGACCCCTAATATCACATGGTATAAAAATGGTTCAAACACCATGATATCAGGAAGAGATGAAGATTCAAGAATCTGGGCTAAAGGAAATGCACTCTGGTTTTTGCCAGTGATGCTAGAAGACTCAGGAGCATATATCTGCACAAGAAGGTAGGTATTTAAAAGAAAATCTAGTTCACTAACAAATGACTATGTCTAAAGGCATTACCTTGATTGTAAACCCCAGTTATATCCAGAGCATTTCTGAATAAGACAATTTCCTTGCTGACCTTATTAGAGAGAAAAAATGTGGGAAGTCGAGACCCTTAGAGTGCATTGTGTGTCTCCTATAGTTACCAGAACTGAAATCTGCATAAATGGTGACACAGCATTGCCACTTTGGCTACAATCTCATAGGAGAATAGTGTATAGAGTTTTTTCTAGTTACCTCTGAGCCAGTCAGTGCTATGACAAGTGGGACATGCTGCAGGCAGCAGGTTTGCTGAGCACAAATACACTTGTTGCACCTCAGATTGCCTTATGAAGCATGTTTAAGGCACTGTAGTTCTGCGGTGGCTTTCCTTTTCCCACATCTATATCCCTGGTCTTCACTTTTCTTCTGAGTCACATTCTAAACCAGAATTTGATTGACTTGGTATTGTTGGAAGAATTTTCATGAGACCAGTGTGTATTTACCACTAGTACCAGACTCGTGGTGTTGCAGTGAGTTGAGATTTTAGCCGTGGCTCTCTTCAGCCCTATTGGTAATTTTTTTCTGAGTGTTTTCAATCTGACAGCACACTGTACCAAGTCAAAAGAGGTGCCAGGTTCTGGATTTGTTGAGGACCCAGGAAGGCAAAAAACCCCATCACCCTTAGAGCTTGAAATTCTGAAGATGTTCCAGGTCCCTGTCCCCTGTCATCTCCTGCTGCCAGCCAGCCTCTCAGTATACCTCTGGCACTTGGCTCTGGGGCTTATACTGGAGAACATATCTCTACATCCTTCGAGCTGCTTGTGGACTGCATGGTCTCCTTGCTTGCACAGCACACCTTGGGATGTGTGTCAGCAATAGAAGAGATACACAAGCTGAGAAATCATGCTCGGTGTGTCAGGTTGGCTTTTCCCCATGTCTCAGCAGCAATTTCCATTGTGGAGCAGAAGAGAAGATGCTGGTGAAGCCCAAAGAGCAAAAGGTTGCAAATACTGTTCTAGAGCAGAGTAGTTGCCTGAGATGTTCAAGAGTGCTTTTAAATCCCCTTTTTGGACTATTCTGCCTCATTTTGTCCATATATAACACTATGGCAGTGTTACTGAGAGATCTAGTAAAATGCTGTGAAATTTGTTTGAAAGTACAAGCAAATTACATTTCCTTTACAAATTATCCTGCAGGGAAGCCAGCAGATCTTTTTATCAACTCTGTAAAAGGAAGGTAGCAGCAAACTATCACAGATCTCTGCTTCTGTGTTCTGTGGAGCAAATATTTTGGATTTGGGCATCTGGCCTGTACGTGACAGATGGCCACAGTGCCCTAGCAATAGTGTCAGTCTGTCTGCTTGCAGTCCACAGCTGCTGTCCTGGAGGTGGCAGCCTGGCCCTCCTGGCTTCACTGGCTCCTTTAGGATCATGCACTGCCCTGAACAGAGAGCAGCATCTCTGAAGCAGGGTTCCAGAGGTTATAAAGAATGGAATTTAAGCATCTATCTCTCTCAGTTTGGTCTTCCTTGGGATTGGAAGTGATTGTCACTTGGGGCCAGAAAGAAAAGTTGAATATTGTGAACCTTTCAAAACCAGAATGCCTTATTTGCTACAGAAAATTATATGTACTCACAGAAACATCTATGGTTGTACAATAGTAACTGCAGATGTATTGTCATACATGCTTTAAGCTTTTTACTTAACCATTAGGGTTTTCACAGTCAAAACCTCTTCCAAGGAAATGGGGGAGGGTTCATGACATACCTGCTACTGTTCAGGTTAACATGTTCCCCCTCCTGACACAGTTAAAATCGTGCTGCAGCCTAAAGGTGCACATGAAACTCATACTAAAAATAAAAGACTGAAGGTCTGAGGCAGACACGTGTCAGCAACAAGTTTCGATCATGCCAGAAGAACTGTACCAGTGATTTTCCAGCATCCCGCCTGGTGTGATCTCAGTCTTGGCCTCTGTTAAGGAGGGAAATGGAGCCAGGAGGAAACCAAGGGTGTCATTTGAGTTCCTCTCATCACTCTTGGGGGTTCTCCCTGCTCTGTCACCAGGAACTCCTCCTACTGCGCCAAGGTCTCCATCCACCTCACAGTTGTGGAGAAAACATCTGCTTGGAAGATTGCCTATCCCCAGGTCCTCTTCACTTTCACCTCTGGAAAGATTGTTTGTCCTGACCTGTGGGATTTTACACCAAATAGGACAAGCCTGGAGCTGAAGTGGTACAAGGTAGAACATTTAATTCCTCTTTGTGCGTAACCTCATCCCAGCTTGGCACATAAATATCCACTTTACCTTTCTCCTGAACATCATGTTGCTTAAGTCACTAGCATAGTGTAATATACTGGGAATTTTGGGGCAGATGTATCTTAAGAAAACATTTTAAGAAAAGTTCTCTGGGGAACACTCAGCACAGGATGAAGTGTTTCACATGTTTTATGTTCTCACAGGCAGTGTAACAGATTATAAAGCTAGATTATTTACCCAACTACGGGGTTTGCCACCTGATATCAGGCCCTTCTCTTTGACACTGTGCTTCTTTTCATGGCCCCTCTAGTGAATCCCATAAAGTAAGACCTCCCAGGGATACTGCTTCCATGTTCGGGGGGGGTAGCTTTCGTTAATCAAGTGGAATACACTATTTGGAAATACTGGATGAATTATATAATGCTTGGAGTGTTCTCTTGCCCAACTGCCCAGTTTGCTGCTTTTCAAGTGGACAAGCCTGATTTTGCCTCTAAGATCAAATACAACATCCTCGGCTGTTGAATTTCACACTGGAGAGCAGGGGATTCTTCTTCCATTGCCACAATACCTCAGTTTGGCTGTTATTTACACTCCCACTACGATCACACTGCCTTGTGCAGTTGTAGCCTTACCATAGGAGGCAATATACAGGCTGGCTTGCAGTGCCTAGGTTATGAGCTGTACCCTACCAGCAAAATGTTGCTGCTCAGGACTCCCTTCCGAAGTGGGAACATAACCCACTTTATCTAAGCGAAAGGCTGCCCCCCTCAATATGGTTCTTGTTACAAATGTAAGAAAGAGCTACCCTGCCTTCATGAGGGAGGAAGATAATTTCTCCTAGCAGGTCTCCGGCCTGTGTATGAACAGAGCCTTAGGGATACAGAGCAGGAACTTCTAATAGTCTATAGGGTAAGTAATAGTTACGTGAAATCCTGCATGACTACAAGTATTTGTCTTCAAAGAATGCCTTAGAATATTATTCTTCTGTGGTCATGTATGGAAAGTATGGATACATACACAGGAATACGTATGGATAACATTGTGAAAACCTCCATGAGTACTAAAATCTTGTGTGATTGCTCTTAAGATGACTCAAGGAAGAGCCTATTATATGTCTTCCATCTTAAAATGTGCACTATGGAAGAGCTATGCACACACATTATAGATAGATTGAAATAGCAATTCTTCACACTTCACACATATAGTGCCCCAAGGCATTTTAGAGATCCACATTAAAAGAACTTGTGTTTTGGTGAGAAAGCAGAACTGCTCAGATTTCCCACTGATAAGTGAACTTCTAATAACAGAGAGACAGAGATAATTTGTCTGAGATTTACACAGGGTGTAGCAATCTGAGTCATAACACCAGTTTCTGTCCTTTCTCCAGGATGCTCAGCCTTTGGAAGAGGACAATGAAAGATTCATCATTCTGAAAGGTTCAGCGTCTCTGATCATGACATCTGTGCTACCAACGGATGCGGGGTATTACACCTGCAAGATGTCATTTCCATTTGAAGGTGTGCCATATGAAATCACCAGGACAATTCAATTGGAGACTGTTGGTAAGTGTCCTTCAGATCAGAAGGATGGAGCACCTCTCCTACAAGGAAAGGCTGAGAGAATTGGGTTTATTCAGCCTGGAAAAGAGAAGGCTTCGGTGTGGCTGAACTGTGGCCTATCAGTACCTGAATGGGACTTAGAAATGGAGAGGGCTTCTTACAAGAGCATGAAGCGACAGGACAAGGGCAAATAGCTCCAAATGGAAAGAGGGCAGGCTGAGATTAGCTATTAGGAGGAAGTTTTTACTGCGAGGGTAGTGAGGCACTGGCACAGGTTGCCCAGAAAAGTTGTGGATGCCCCCACCGCCCTCCTTGGAAGTGTTCAAGGCCAGGTTGGATGGGTATTAACCAGCTTGGTCTAGTGGAAAGTGTCCATGCCCATGGCAGGAGGGATGGAATTAGTGGTCCTAGGAGCCTTTTAGGAAAGGTTTTAGGGACATTTGAGGTTTCTTCCAACCTAAATGATTCTGTGGCTCTATGATTCAATGATGGACATATTAAAACATTACAGCACATAAGAAAACCTCTTCTTTGCTAATGAAACTCTTGAGAGGAGCCTTTCAGCCGTGCCAAGGGAGCGCTTGTCCTGGCCCTGAAGGGGCTCCCTGGCGGGGCGGGGGTCTCTCCTGCAAGTACCCGCGTTTGTTAAACGGAATAATAGATGTCCTGGGGGCAGAAGGCGGCGTGTCCCTGCCGAGTCCCTCGGGGGAGCTCGGCGATCAGCCATTTGGCGGCGGCCCAGGCGGGGACAGGCCGCAGTGCTCAGGGCGGGGATGGCGGCGGGGCCGGCGCAGCTGCGCGGAGCGCCGGCAGGGGGCGCCCGTGCCGCAGGTTCCCCGCGCCGCGCCTGAGGCGGCGGAGCCCGCCCGTCCCCACAGCGCGCTCCGCATGGAGCGGGAAAATCGCTGCCTGCCGGAGGCTTTGGCAATCAAACCTTCCTGGCAGACTACAGCGTAGGCTGATGTGGCATGTGTCTGGTTCTGCGGCCATGCCCGCATTTTCTCTTGTCTTAGCACTGACTCTGTTCTCTTTTTCTGCCAAGAACAAGAGAAGAGAATTACCCCGATAATTGTGTATCCAGCCCAAAAGACAACATCAGCTGCTCTTGGTAAGGCCCAACATCATATTTGGAAACATTTAGTCAGAGAAAAACTAGAGTCAGAGAAAAACTAGGTCCTCTTATGGTGTAATTTGTTGGCATAAATTGTTGTCGGGTTTTGATCTCAGTTATATTAGTTGAGGGTTGGTTCTGGACTATTCTTTGCTTTTTAACATCTACAACCAGATTCTGTCTTCTGGGTATATAGATTTACTTCCATATAATACAGATACACATCAGTCTGAAATCTCCTTATCCCTGAGTTGCAGTAATTATAGCAATTAATAATTTCAGAAATTCTGCAAAATCACTTTATTCCTGGAGGTCCAACTTTCAGCTGAATGTCCTCACCCACAGCATCTGTGAGTGAAGCTGTGCTGCTGGTTAATGCACAGCATTAAATTAAAAATAAAGCTGCTCCAGAGGGGCAAATCCCACAGTGCCCTTGGGGCTGCACTGTGTCAGAAAGGGCAAGGCTGCAGGGACACAGCCTTGCCTCTGGGGAATGTCTTTAATGCAAGAGTTGGTAAGTGTTGCAATAGGGAAATTATTTGGTTAGCAGCAGGAAGGACTGCCACACTGAAGGATCTTGGTTCCAAGGAGTAGGGGATCAAAAGCAATCTGGAGATTAACTTTAGCTTTGAAAGTAGTGGTTCTTGATGTGTGTGGGATCTCCCACTGGAGTTGTTGGTTTTCACCAAAAGAAAGAGTAGTTCTTCATATGTGTCTAAATTGTTTTTCAATCTTTTTTTTTTTTTTTGACAGGCTCCAAGATGACTCTCCCGTGCAAAGTGTTTGTTGGACTGAGCAGCCATTTCCAAACTGATGTGGAATGGCTGGCAAATTACACCAGCGTTGATGTGGTTTATAAACAAAGCAGAGTTACAGAGGGGGAACGACAGTAAGTCTGGCTGAAAGTGCTTCCTTGTCCTTATATTCTAACTTGCAGTGCTACAGGGGCTCTCAGTGCAGTTGAATGCCAGGTAATGAAATGGAAAATGGACAGATCTGAAGTGAAGGTGAGAGCTAAGGAAAAAAAAGGGCAGGCAAGCAAAAAACCCCCAAGCCCAACCCAGTAAGTTAAATAAATGCTTTATCTCTGTTTTTTGTGACATGGTATTTTGCAAATGAGCCAACTTTGATACAAACTTTAAGCACATTTTCATGAGCAACTGAGCTGTTGTAAGGGCTGACTGCAGTGGAAAGCAAGGAGACTTGATCCTTCCCAGTGCTTCTCTTACATCTCTCCTTACTCCATGCCAGCAAAGTGGCAATTTTTTCTCCCTGACATTCATGAGGTTCTCAGAATATACTAAGGCAACAGAAAATTATCTAGTGGTTTGATGGGTTTTGTTTTGTTTTCTAAATAACACGGTTTTCCCCCCTAAGCTTGTTCTTTTCCACATTAGTGGGTTAAACTGACTCACACAGACACCCACTGACTGCTAGAGCAGATGCTAGGGTAGCACTGCAGGGAATGCTGGTGGGAGGGAGAAACAGGATGTTCCATGAATCCTCTTGCCCTGATTCATTGTGTCTCCCAGTCTCGAAGTGCCTTCTTTCAGCTGCCTCATAGCTACATACCTCAAGGCTTTTCCCACCAGGAAAGGGAAGGATACCTGCTTTCTGTACCTGTGGTGTCTTACCTGAGTAACTCACTACATCCAGGCACACCTCTAGTGTTTTTGTAAATGTGAGCTAAACTTTCTGACTGAAATCTCTCAATTGAGGACCAAGTCAACTGGTTTTGTTTCTTGTTTCATGAAGTTCAGAGTGTCCAAAAAGATCATTACACTTGCCTGGTGGCTCTGCCTGTACTGGTGGACAGAGCCCAGAAGGTTCCTTGGCTCTGGGATGCTGTTGCCTCTGCTGTTACTTGCTCAACTGGTCACACACCAGCTAGCACCTTCCCAAAGGATTTCTGGCTATTGATTAGGGTTTAGCATGGGGTAGGGGCCATTTCCAACAGAGTTTGGACATGTGACATCCACATTTTGAGGGACAAGAATGTTTGACTGTTAGGGATGTGAGATGGTTTTGGCAATTTTTGGCCACCAGTGCCAGATAACAGCCTGGCCATGCTGCAGCCAGAGGAATATGCCCAAGCCTTTAGGTGTTTTCCCACTCCCCACAGCATGACTGGGGAAATTAATTTATAATCTTGTTTATACGGATAGGTGCAAATGCATTGAACCTGTGGCCAGGAACCATAAAAATGTGCTGCAGCTATAGTCTCCGCAGACTTTAGAATAGAGCAGCACTTTTTTACTTGGACTTTAAAAATTGTTTTTGTTATGCTTACCACTATCATCACTGCTGTTATATATTATCATGGAATTGCACAAGGACAGCGACAGATGAGGTTCCTGCAGGACCCACAGTGTGTGAGAGACTCCAGTTCTGCTGGAAGCTCTCATTATGGCAGCATGATAAAACAGCTCAAATGCCCCTGGGAAAACAAATTCCCTGCAGCAATCTCTGGCAAAGAGCTCCTGGGAGGAGTGCCCAGGGAATTCCATTGCTGCCATGCAATGCAGGCTCATGATGGACAGCTGTTCTGGTTATGGCTAGAAGGTATCAAGGGACAATGTTTGACTCCAGCTTAAAAAACACTTTCAAATAGTGGGATTCCTAAAATAATCATGTTGAAATTAGCTGGAAAATTCTTGGACACTTTCTGAGCTACTGGCTTTGAGCACGTGATAGACAGGAATGGTGGTTCAGCTTTCTCAGAGAACATTTGCAGGGTTCTGTTCTCCATATGCCCTCTGCTGATTGTAAGAATTAACCTTAGGTGGTCAGAGAGAAGGAATTAGGTCCTTGCACAATGCTAATGTATCAAAGATACACAGAATTCCACTTGCCTTTTTCCCCTCCCTTTTCTTTATTTTTGCAAGACAAATCCAGGTATTTTTTTCCCTCTAGACTCCAAAAGCTGCAAGATAGGTACTGCCCACTGGGACTCAAGTAGCACAACTGGGCTGAAGACAACAGGCATCCTTGAATGCTGAGGGGGCTGGTTCAGAAATGAAGCAATATCCAATGCATTTTCTTGCAATGTGCTGTTAGAATGAACACATCAAATAGAGAAAAAACATCTTATTAAAATAATTAACATTAAAACTTTCTTATTCTTCCAGAGAAATTGTAGAAAATGGTGAAAACTTCATTGAAGTACCACTGATTTTTGATTCTGTTGAAGAAGTGGACTTTTACACAGACTTTACCTGTCTGGCCCAGAACAGCTATGGATACCAAGAACTGCCAACAAGGGTCAAGCAAGAAGGTAATTATTTTTACTGCTTATTTTTGATAATTTTTATTATTATTCTAATGCTAAATTAGCATTTGATCTGTTTATACAGTAGGAGCAAGTGTCAGGATAAGTTACTGCCTGGGGAAAATCTGGTTGCCTCCTTCACCTGTAATCTTTGGTAGAGCCTGTTCAAAAAATGCACCTTCTGTAGGTCATTTACTGACATTTTATGCAGGGATAAGGATCCATCTGTGCTGATATATCTGTTTATTGGATAAGACTCCAATTTAGATACACTTTGTGAAATAAGTGTTCCAGTGAGACTACTGGCAAACTCTCTTTGCAGCATGGCCAAATCTCCTCCAGTTCCTCAACAAATAAGAAAAAAAAAAAGACAATAACAGAATAAATCATTAGAGTGTTTCTTTTCCTTATGCACAGACTGCTGCCAAAATAACAAGAAGTGTAAATTATGATGGGTGTTGTTACTTTGGCTCCTAGTGATGGGAAGAGAAGACCTAAACTGAGTGCAATTAATGTTGCAGTGTGATAAACCACTGGCCAAGGGCCAGCTGTATAAACCATGTGAAGCAATGCTAATTGTTTCTTTGCATGACGTTGGTGAATCACCAAAGCTTGCTCACACTGTCTTTAGAAAGGCACATGAACACTTTCAGACTTCATTATCAGTTATGACTCACTCCAGCAGTCAATGATGAGGGATTTGTACTCATTTTGCTGGATCATGTGCTGCCCTTGTCTTCCATGAGCTACATCAGAATAACTACAGAGGGGAAAATGTACATTGGAACAATCCAGAATGGTCTGGACAGACACTGGCGTTGGAAATTAGCTGGATTTGGGAAGAAGTTCCGAGTCTGGGGTTGATTGTTACTAATTTATAAGCTGCTCTGTAGGAAAAAAATATTCACACAACTTGAGGATGGACTAATGGTTAAGTATTCATGATCCACAAGGTGCTTGGATTTCCTGCTTGGAATGCCTCTGCTTTAAACAAACCAAGATAGAAAGCACACAGCTTTCTGATCAGGGGTTCAGAAAATTGGGTGTATGCAATGATTGAACTTTGAATTCTCGCTCTCTGTTGTTTCCCAATCCTTCCTCCTATCTTCATGAACACATTTCCCAGAGTGCTCAATCAATAGATCTCTTCCTTTCAAAGGTGGTAAGCCCTGCTGGAAGGTTAACTTGCAGACATCCTTTTTACTGTCATTTCTCCTCTTCGGACTTGAGCTAAGAGAGCTATGTTCCTGGGACTTCATTGTTTTTTTCTGGTTTTCTAATATTTAATTTGTTTACTTTTCCAGCTGTTGGTCTGTCCTGGTACATTGCAATGATTCCTGTTGTGCTGGCCTGTTTGATCGTGGGAGGGATATGCATGCACAAGTGCTGGAAAAGTAGAGCTGATAAAGGATATACAATTCCAAAGGTTTAAAGTCCACTTGAGTTCTCCAACTGCCAACAGAACAAAAAATCACCCTGGCCATCTTTCACATCAGACACAGCAAGCATTTAAGACCTGATATACTGCATTCCCAACAGACCAATAACAACAGCTCTTTCCCACTTTTCCCAGTCTTCTGATGAAGATGAAGTTAAGAATATAAGTTTGCATTTTTATGCTGCTTAGATGCAGGAAATCTGCTTCTATTATTTTGTAACTAGGATGCAATCTGTAGAATTTTGGAACACAAAATCATGCTCTGGATATGGGAAGGGTAGGAAAAGGGAGGTGCTCTCACCTTTTGTAATTCCAACACTTGTACTGTTTTTTTTTTTTTTAAAGGAAAAGAAACCCCTAAAATCTAAAAAGAGAAGCTAAGGAAGCTAGCTACAGAAGGACTATTTGACACTAGAGGGAAAAAGCAATTTTTCTATGCAACCAGACTAAATTTATTTTACTTGAGTCTAAAAAGAGCCATTTGTTTTCCCTTTTCAGAGCCAAATGCAGTTGTCATGGCAACTGTATATCTATGAACTTCTCCACAGAAAAACTAAATTTGTTCACCATTTGGATTACACTTTGCTTAAATAGACTGTCTCAGAATATCCCTCCCCCAGAGATAACTCCATCTGTATAAAAGAAAACTGTACACAGAAGAATTCAATTCTGTTTTATCTACCAATATGTTGTAGCTAGAGATTTATAAGCAGCTGTAACATGTTGTCATCTTTGCCAAGGAAAGAATTGGAGGATGTTTAAGTGTTTTGAGAGTGATTTCTCTAATAAAAAGTTTTATTCGTGTAAGTGACTGGACAGATTGCCAGTAATAATGAACAGTCTCACACTTTTGTTCCTCCAGCCCTTTTGTGACCAGTCTGGTATAGATTCAGATTGTGTCCTTTGAATTGCAGCATGTAAATTGGTTACACAGGATATAAAACACTGCCTGTTAGGTTAACCTAGCTGGATTCTAGTCTTGACATAAATCGTAAGGGAGCAATAAATAATCAGTGACCATGTTGTACTTTGAGGGTCAGAATGAGTAAAATTATTTGGTTACTTCCTCTCTTCCTCTTCAAAGAGATACCACTCATGACAGCTGAGAAATCGTTACATGTTATATAATGTGTATTATCTTCATCTGTACAGGAGGGAAGAGAACCTGCATTACGGCCTAGATTAGTACAGGTCCATAACCTCTACCTCTACCAATACCAAAATACCAACACCTCTCACAGGCACCAAAGATAAACCTTTTTGTTCATACAAATCATCCCAGAAGATTTTCAAACTTTAGGAAAAAAAATCAGGAAAAACTTAGTCTCCAAAAGAGCAAATTGTAACACACTAGAGAAGTGAATGGCTCCCATCCATCTGGGAGAGATCATGACCTTATTCCTTTCTACCACCACCTTTAGCTGGCTCTGAGTTTGGCCCAATAAATATCTGGAAGGATTTTGAAGAGTAGGATGTGGCTAGAGTTAAGAAATCTTCACTCTATTAGCAAGAACATTCATATGTAATGAGATTCAGACCAAAGCCTCCCTTTAAATACTCTAAATGCTTGTTGTGAAGATACAGGCACAGAGATTAGAGTTCTGACGCAGTTTAGGTCAAGGGCATCCAGAGAACACCACAGGACTCACTGTTTCCAAGTGTAGAATATTAAAGATGATAAGGACTACAAGTACTTTATGGGCAGATGGGAAAAAGGTAGATTCAAGTGTGGAGAAGACTCAGTCTACTTGGATATCTGTTCTTTGAAGGAAGAAAGCTATTGATTAACTGACCAGTATTGGAAGGAACATTGAAAATGTTTTAGAAGCATCAGGAATGCTCATTATTTTCAAGCAATTGCTAGTCTATACCTAGAGAACAAATTAGGTTTGTCAATAAGTGTAATGTTTAAACATGTAATTTCCTCTTCCTTTCCATCTGTATCCTTCAAGAGTAGTGTGATCACACACCTGGCTGTAGGTGCAGGGTTGGATTTCACTAAGTACTGGGAAAAAACAGAACTTTTGGTATACAGAGCCATAAGTTATATGGTATACTGATGCCATAAGTTAAATACCTCAGACCCTTCAAAACCAGAGGAGGAGAAAAAATATGAATATAAGATAAAATTAGGTATTTAGAGAATTGCTGTTACATACTCAGTGGCATTTTGAATAAGAAAGGAAAGTAAAGAAACAAAGGCTTATCTTTTATGAAATTATATTTGCTTCTCTGACTACTAGTACAATATTCTGAAGGCTTTCCTCCTAAGCAGATGTCTTCAGGTGAACTACATAGTGTAAATATTTTACAGATAGATTTGAACAAGAGATCTACATAATGGAAATGCTTTACACTGATTTGCATCATTATACACAAGGGCAACATGGTTTATCTAAGTTTTGAAAATGTTATGTGGAAAAAATGATAAGCAAATAAACCAAAATGCTGGTGTGTGAGTTGAGTGGGAAGAGAGATGTGAGACATGAGATGTCTCTTTGAGGATGGCAGCTCTTTTCCAAACCTGAAAAGAAGTACAGTATTAGGGAACATCAAGGATTCAGGGCTCTGCACAACAATGTTTCTCTTCAGAAAAATTATGGATGTAATGAGGACAAGGGTACTTCATTCCTGGGACTGTGTGGGTTTATAGCATTTTCCAGAGAGCTAGTCTACCTTCAACAACTTCAGAGGCACACCTACACCTCAGAGAGGAAAAGGTTGGTGTACCATGGTCTTGGCTTGAATTAGCATCCAGGACAGAGGATTTTTGTGCATAAGTTGTTTTCAGAAAACACGAATTGAGTTAACAACTATTTTCTAGTTTTCAGTGTATGTGATCTTGATGTCACTTATCCATCTAAATAGGCAGCATGTCTAATGTTTGACCAGAGTAGCACCCAAACTGAACCTAAATATAATGTGAAGAGCACTAAATAATTTCATCTGCTGGCTCCTAAACAAAACTTAAAAAAATGTGGGAGCAAGTGAAAACAAGGGCTGACCTGCACATAGAGTTGATCTTCACTGATCAAGACAAGAAAGTTACATTTTTAATTCTAGTAGCTAGGAAGGCATGCATGCAGGAGGACGAGGACCTCCTTGTTGAAGTATCATTGCCAGGAATAGTGTTTTAGGTATGAACGGCTAATTAAAGTATTTATGATTATTCTGCCTCAAGTCTGTAAAGCAACAGGTCCAGCAGGGCAAAAAAAAAAAAAAGTAAAAAATAGTTCTTATGTTTTGGAGCTGAGAACTCCCTATCCATAACCTTGCAGCTGCTAAGGATGGCCTAGGGTGGGGTACCTCTCATCCAGCCTTCACAAAGCCTAAAGGAATAGAGGTAATCCAAGACAGCCATTGATGTTTCCTGTCCACTCAGTGGAGAAAGACTTCTCTCTGGTGCCTAAAATAAATGGGATGAGTTGCATCTCGGAGGTGTCTGTCTTTTTCCACCAGTTTAAGACAAAGTGAGATGAGTCCATTCTTCATGGATTCATGGATAAAGGAATGACTGGTTGTGGATCACTGGATTTTGGGTTATCAGAGAGGTTACAAAAAGAATCAGTCTAAAGTCCAGAGACACCTTGTAATGTAGTCAAAGCTGCTGGGCTTTCTTGGGAAATGACTTTAATGTTGGCAGCTCTGTGCAGAGCAAGCACAGGCTTGCACTAAATTAAAATACTGTAAGGGGTTGGGAAGCAGACCCAAGGTATGTATTGTGGAATCCAACATAAGAAGGAGGCTGAAAATATCTAGCTGGTGCCTTGGAAAACATTTGTGGCTCAAAGATTTGTGGTCATAAAGTGTCACAGCTATTACAGGAAGAAAAAAAAGAGCTGTCCTGTGTGCGTGGATGTAGTACAGAGAGCCCTGCTGGGACCAGGAGGAAGCCTGCTGAATGACTGCAGGTGAGCTGGGCCCTGTCACCCTTTCCACAGCTCTCAGCCAGCTCAGCTTCCATGGCAGACAGTGTCTGCCTGCTCCTTCCTGGCGCTGCTGGGCTGCAGCAGAAGACTGGAAAAACCAGTTATATAGGAAAGGAAATATCATAAACTAGCTTGCTTCCGGTGGACAAACTCATGTCATTGATAAGTAAACCACTTATATACATATATGTATATATATATTGTGCTTTAGTGTGTTCATTGTGCTGGAAACTACAGTCTCTATCAGTTTATACATTACCTAGTATACACAGTGTAAAGAGCTCAATAAAGCAACTGAAATGTAACTCCAGACGGTTTTCAAAAAGCACATATTATCTTCCTGAAATTCTTCAGCCAGGCACTAATATTATTGTTGTTATTATTATTATTATTAAAGTTCAGAAAACTCATGTAGAACCAAGCTCACTAGTTAGAGCTTGGGAAATTCATCCATTTCTGAATCTTTAACTGCAAAGTGTAGTTTGGCTCTTATAGTTGTGTGTCCGTTCTATCAATTTTAAATTTTTTGCCCTGGTCTAAATTGTCCCAGAACCTGACAATGACTTCAGGTGTAAACAGCAATCTGCTTTGTAACATGTTGAAAAGGTCACTATCTCAGTCCTGATAAGAAGTGAAGGTCCTCTCTCACTGTTTTTACTAGTTTGTCTTCTTTTGAGTTGTGCCCCAGGAACTTCACTTATATGTATGTAAATTTCATAGAAATGCACATCTTGATTCCTTTGTGGATAATGAGGCATTGCCAGTGTTTGTGTCTCATGAGGCTTGAATAGTGCTATTGATTTAAAGCTGCAGAGGCTTTGTTCTGCCTTGGTTATAAAGGTTTCATTTATCCATCTGCTAAGCTGTGGGATAAGTGAATCATAATGTTTGCTTGCTTTGGCTCCCAAATGTCCTTCGTCATAAGTGCTGAGGGGGCTAGGTTATGACTGGAAGTAGTTGATACTGTTTGTTTACTTGCAAAAGACTCTCAAGTGACTTGTGGCTTTCAAGCTGGAGACACTGCTGAAACAAGGTAATTAAAGGGTGTGATTACATGTACCCTCAGTATGTTACTGCCACTATTTTTCTTTGACTGGACCTTACCATGGCTGATCTTTCAACTGGTTTGAGAACACTCCAGAGGAAAGTATGGGCAAGACACAGTGGTTTCTTTGGTCTCATCGTCATTACTCTGCTAGCCTGTGAATGCTGGAGACTTGTTCCTCCTTCTTATCATTAAATTGTAGAATTATTTAGGTTGGAATGGACCTCAGAGATCATCTAGTTCCAATTCTCCTTCCATGGGCAAGGGCACTTTCCATTAGAAGATTACTCAAAGTCCCATCCAACCTGGCTTTGAACAATTGCAGGGATGGGGCACCCACAGCTTCTCTGGGCAACCTGTTAGAGTGCCTCACAGTGACAAAT